GATTGAATGACCTGGCGAAGCAAAGGCGACAAGGGTGCCATCGGCTCGGTAGTTCTTGTGATTATAGATAGCTGCCGGGCGATCTCCTCGCGTATGAATTGCTTTATGAGAGGCATCAACGCAAACTGGTCGGCGGTGTCATGGTAATAGTCAAGGGATCAGAGATGCGTGGTGTCTTGCGCAGCGCAACGTGTAGAAGTGTGCTGTCTACACAGCTCATCATAACTTTGGCAGAGCTGAATCACCTCGGCGACCGTCTGGGGACTCTTCGCAGCAAGCATTTGGAATGCACCGTCGATTCCTTCTATGATGTTCTTGATCTTGCCTGCCTCGTTCAGAGAAGAGTTTGACCAGGTACTGAACTGTTTTCTGTACTCTGCCACGCAAGTGCTGTTCAGCACGAAGGCGGCGGACAGCAGGACGGCCAAAGACTTCCGAGAGGGTTTTTGCCAATTTCGACCAGGTACTGAAATCACTTTGATGATTCCTGTACCATAGTTCCGCCACGTCGATCAAGTAAACTCACATTTGTGAGCTTATTGGCTGCGTTCCACTTATTGTACGCCCTCACCAGTTCATACTCGGCAATTCAGTTGTCCACATCTTGGTCCTCTGTGCCACCAAATATGGGGGGTCGCACACCAAATACAGGTACGGGTGCGAGATCTGGAGTGGCGGCCTGAGACGGCCCCAGATCAGTCATTGCAGAAAGTTGTTGGAGTGTACGGCTGCGAAGTTCCAGGGAGAGGACCAGATGTACCCAGCACCTACGCCACTTGAAACGGGGTGTTGAACAAGCAGGAGTTGACTCGGTGAATGAGAGATTTATTTAGCGCAATGGCGAACTGAATGCAAGCCTACAATCACAGCACATCTTCTCCTTTCTCTACTCGAGCTCCATGTCCACTGCCCTCGTTACAGGTGAAAGAACTTTAAAGCAGAGGGTTATTTTCTGTAAAACTTGTTTTTACTTCTGGTGTGCCACAAGCTTCAGAAGGGGCCCCTGATGTTTGTTGGTTTCATTTACGACATCTGTAATGGTATTGGATCATAGACAAATTTACCTGATAATGATTGCACATACATAAGGGTAGCTTAACTGAAGAGGCGGAGGCCTACTGCACGAAGTCAAAGGCATGCTCTTGCACACCAGTGCAATCATTATCAACTGATGGGATGTGCGATTTGATAAAATTAGAGATGCCTTTGAAGTATGTGAGTGATACAAACAAGCAGACAGGCAGAATTTAACTAATTTTAGAGTACTTTTGCCCCCAGAAAGGTCCCACCTAGTAGCATGCATACTAATGAAATGGAATAGAAAAAGTCCACTCTGTTGTAGCAAGACTTGCGATGCCAACAGGGGCATAACAGACACTAGTTTTTGAAGGGTCTCTATGTGTAAATTTAGTTTTTTATCCAGTGTAAACCTTGAGCATAAGAGTACTGAAGAACACATATTTCATCACATACAGACAGTTCATTGAAGGGTATGGACACAAGAAATTTTTTCTATTGTTTTTCGTCAGGAGCCTTTAAACTATACAGGTAAGTGCAAGTGCACTCTGGAAAATTAATCAAGACATTTTTTTTTTAGAAGCTAGTTTTGGTTCTTACTAATCCCTAACCTCAAGACATGGTACGAGTTTCGGGTCTGATGCTTGTGCAATATATCACGGTTTCTCTACTCTATTTCATGGCTCTATTGGTGACGTGCGAGTACTCATTTTGTGCATTTTCGTGCCAGACAACAGGGCACATTGGTGCGTGAAGTAGCCAAAACTGACGCTAGATAGTTGGGCTAATTGGTAGTGGCCAACTTGGGACGTAACAATATAGCGCTCAAAAGATGACAGATCATGCAAAGCAGCAAACAGGAACGACTACCAAGCGCTAACTACTCGCCTTCTTAGATTTTTTTTGCTTGGTCCATCGTGTCTTATGCACAGTTTGTTTTTTAGTACCTCAAATCAACGTAGTTTGTACAGTAATGTGACATTACACTAGTGTCAATTTCAGAAGACTCACCATGCAATAGTTAAGCGCCAAAATAACACATCTTATCAGCAGTAACACAGCTTCACACCTGCCGAGAGCTGTCTCTGTGTCCAGGAAATTCGTCTAGCAGAGTGAACTCTGCTTCGAAGACTGGTGTCTGTACCCCTTCAAAAGGGTCATAAAGCACACCTCAGTCCTGGTGAAAAAACATGTCCAGTAGAATGCAGACACTGCTTTGAACCGCTCAGCTAAACGTCGTAGTTGTGCACAGCAAGAACAGCAAACAAGAGTTGCCACTTTCTCAGGTGCCCTCATTTCATAGAGATGCCTGTGCTCTCAGGAGCCGCTGGTGCTTGCTTTTTGATGTAAAACAACAGATGCATGCTACTGGCCAATTGGACACATCAATCAAGAGTAGCATTTGAGTCGTACGCACGTTCTTGCCACTGAGTGCTGGTACACCATATGGCTCCGCAGTCTGTTCACATCACAATCAGATACAAGCCCAGAGCCCAAATAATCGAAGCACGGCAGCCTGCACAACTAAAGAAGTAGTCGCACTCATGAACAGGACAATGTTTTCTCTAGTTTTCTGGCTCATCTCTTGTGTGCATGGAGGAAAAAAAAGAAAGACAGGAGCATTACGTCACGTAGCCAGCCTTGGCAGGCCAACCCGTTTTGAAGCCACATGTGTCCGCCTAACATGTGACCTTTCGCAGTGAGATCACGGAAGCAATGAGACGTGCCAGAGTGCGGGGCATGACAGGTTTTACTCGAAGCACACTTGCTCAGCGCAGGATTACGTATGAGGTTCAAAAATGGAACACCATCAAAACCCACTGTTTTGATCACATGTTGGGCCAACACTTGACTAGTGTGACGTAATGCTTCCTCCTTTCTGTTGCCTTCCTCCGTGCATTCACCTCAGTTGAAGAAATGCCACCGACTTATAAACTAGCATCCAACTCTAGTAGCCACGCTAGTGGCAGGCAAGGAGCGTAGTTGCAGGTCATTATGCGTGCTGGCATAACTTCTTTTCCCCGTGCCATCCCTCCCTGTGTGGTTTCCAGATGAGGAAAGAAAAATCATTTACAATGTGCAACAAAATCCTGTAAATGGGCTCGTTCTTGACAGATTGCAAATACTTTTGTAGCAATCAATTTAAGAACCAACAAACTCAAAAACTAAAAATAATTCTATAAATGCTTTGGAAAGTGGTTCAGGGTGTCATTGAGGTTTAGCAGTAACAACCAAGGGTGGATGTTTCAAGATATTTTTGTTTTCCACCTGAACAATTGTCACTTGGAACTTGCTACCTATGGATGCGGTGCTCTTTAATCGGCCCACATCATCACTGATAATGCCTCGATCTGGGGAAAGGGGGCTGGTTACATACAAATAAATAAAGATTATTTAGTGGCAACCTATTCTAGGTACTAAGGTCACGCAGGTTGTTCCCCATTCTTTTACATATCCAGTCTTTCACAACGTAGTGGCAGAACACAAGAAAATTTTAAATTGCACAGAATTATACAACACTGGTGTTACAAGCGATCGCAAGTATTAAAAATGTGTACACTCGCACCTTGTTTGCAAGAAGGCATGAAAATATATATATACAAGCTCGAACCATTGGTTTCTGTTGACACAAACACTCGTCGTCACTCCTGTGACACAGGCGAAGCACTCGCAGACTACACAGTAACACACCTGCTTTCTCTGCGAAACGTTGACAGGCACAAGCTTAGCGTCGCAGCACCAAACCGCAAGTTGCAAGTAAGCGTAGAGAGACACGCACACTTCGGGCACCAGCCGGTCTTCATCGAGGTACGATCTTACTGCTCCCAAACCACCTACTCGTTTCACATCCGGCGTTGCAAATCAACTTCAGCGTGTCTATCCCTCGGGATTCGTTTTGTTGCCGTCGGGAGGGTGCCCGCACAACTCCGCCAGGGCCCGTTCGTGTTTGCGTCGCACTTGGGCGGGCACCATGGCGCGCAGGTGGGCGACTTCGCGCAGTTTCTCTTCGAGAAGTTCCTCGAGCGTCAGGCTGCTCGTTGGACCTCGTTCGTCAACGACCACGTTGCCGTAGACGACGTCGCGGAAGCGAGACCTGAAGTGACGGCAGATTTCTCGCGCCAGCTTCTCGTCCGCACCCGAGTAGGAAACCGCCCGTTCGAAGCGTCGGTTCAGTTCTTCGAGCGTCACGTCGAGGTACAAGGCGTTGCGACAGTGCAGCGGCGCGTCGCCGCCCATGTCTGCGGTCAGTGCTGCGAGAACCATGTACGAAGCGTCATGCACAAACCGCAACGGCAGCTGGCTGTCGCAGCAAGAATTGGGGATAACGTTGGCACCATCGCCGACTTTCGCGCGCTCCCGCCATTGCCATAGGCGAACGGCCGGGAACCGTTGTGGCGTGGGAAAAGGGTGTTGCAAAGGCAAGCTTATTTAGCAGTTGCGAAGGACGAAACACTCGATGGTCCGACGTTCCGGGGGCGGCAATCTTCGACGAACGCCAGTGATGGGCGATCGCTTATTCTAAACGTACAGCACATTTAGGTAAACAATCCAAAATAGTTGTGATGATTATGACGATGCCAGGCCACAGAACACCTACCAGGGCAGGCTTCCTAGACAACGTCATCTCTGAATGCTGCCAAGAATAAAAATGCATATTGAACATTTAGCTTCAAAACTATGATAATATGTAAGAGTTGTTTAATTTTGTAGTTTTAAATCTTCTTTGAATTTTAATCACACCTACGCATAAAATTGCACGTAATTTATCTCAAAGGCCATGCTTTTATGTATATAAGTAAACACTTTCACGCTGGTTTTGCTTTTACTTTGAAGGTAGCCAACAGTAGCCTAGTGAAGCTGTGCCGGGATTGCGTTTCTTTTTGATGTTTTCGAGGTCAAACGGAGCCAATCCAAGACGGCGTCACGGTCTCGTTTCCGACAACCCCTGGCGGTCTCCGTCTCTTGCGCAGCTGAGAAGGAAACAGAACGAGGCGGAGGACATGTTGCGTTGAGAGCTCCCGAGTGCTAAGAACGGCAGCAGCAGCCAGACTCTGCGCGGCGACCCCACGGAGGTCTGCGCTACTTCACGATAGCAGCAGCCCTCCCGGGATGAATCGAAGGTAGTCTGTTGTCCGACCGTGCCTCCTCGGTTGTTTGCCCTCATTGTCAGCCCCCATCTGAAACCGCTGTTTGAGACCCCCTCCCTCGCTTGCACGCCCCGACGAGTTCCGGCTGTTGAGTTCTGTGTTGTGTGTGTGTGTGAGCATCACCTGTGACGACGATGACTGTCTTGACGGCGTAAGGGCAACAACTATGCGCTATCCCTCCCGCACGTCGGAATGACTGTCGCCCGAAAACTGTTGGATGAGCGTAGCGTCGACAAACTGAGGTGAGCCCTCGATCGGCGCCCTACAGTGCAATCATTGTGCCCGAATCCTTTGTATTGTCGCTCTTCCGCGAGCTCGCTTCTTTCGCTTGATTCCGCGTTGTTTGTGTGAGGATGTGTGTAGTACGCCGTCGGCGCAGCTATGCGTCGCGTGTCGTTGATTGGGGCTAGTGAAGTGGCTATGCGGATCGTCGGACTAACGTCTGTGCAGTGGTGATCGTTTCCTGCGTACGACGCCATCGGCCGTCAGCTGGGCCATCCCGTTTTGCCATTGTCTCGGCCCGGAACTAAGCTCATTTTGCAACCGAAGGCCCTTTTGTTTTCGTGGCGTGGTCAAATTGCGGCCCCAGTAGAGGACATTCGGCGTACGAGGCCTTGACAGATTGAGAGATCCGTCCTCGCTGGGCCTTTCCGTCGTCGCCGAGTCATAGCGCAGCGATCTTTTTTGCGGACTATGATCGGTGACTCCTTCACTTATGCCTTTGCTCGCGAAATCAGTCTGCTTGGGGCGCCTCTTTGTTACGGCGTATATAGCGACATATTGGGTGTCGTCGCTTGACGTTGTTATATGGCCAGCCAAGCGTCGATAACCGCAGGAAATACGTCTACTTTATTTAGCCGACTGAGCGACGTTGGCACCACTGTCCTATGGACCTTTGAAACGCGGTGTCGTTCATTTTTTCCGCCGAGTAAACGGTTTCTCCTGTGGTGACAAATGTGGGACTAATCAATTTAACGGCGCTTTCGATCGACCGCTCTTTTTCCGCGAAATGTGACGCAATACTTCGTCGGTGCTTGGTCTTCGGATGAACGCGATGTACTGCGCAGTTTTTTTTTGTATGGTCTCGTTTTGTGATCGCAGTAATAAAGGAGCCTCCCCTTAATGGACCACCCAAAGTGACCTCTCGTTTGCGGGAAAATCCGTGGTCACTTACTACAGGAAAAAGCTGGGCGACGTGATAAGCACGGACGTCACTCCTGTCGTCTGTGTGCGCACGACAGGCGAAGAAATGTAGAGACAAAAGCTTGCTGCGTGCGTTTATAGCGATCCTATGTTGAATATTACGGTCGTGACAACTCGTTTTGCGTCATTTCCGTGTGCCGGGGCCTTTTCGTGCCCGCTAGTTTCGCGATATCGAGCATGCTTTGCGGCCATCCCGCATAGAAAGTTCCACCACAGAATGGTGGTGGTGGTAGTGGTTAGAAGATGAGAAAAGGCACCTAATTTCTGCAACCCGGTCGGGGAGCACGGCGCAGTGCCTGACAGAATGCCTGACCTCCAAGACAGCGCAGTGGTGGTCTTCGGCGGTAGCTGTTTCATCGCTGCACCGACACACATATTTTTTTTCTAGTTTAGTTTTTTTTTTTTCTTTCGGGCGTGCACGTGTGCTGTCTTCCTGTCCGTCACTTCCTGTGGGGGCCCTGCTGTCACGCGCTCTGTTTGCCTTGTTTTTCCGGCCCTTCGGGTGTGTGCGTGCGCGTCTCCTGTGTGCTTTGGTCGCCGCCTTGATAGCCCTCCGGCGCAAGGTCTGCTACCTTCTCCACCCGTGCACATTTTTTTTTCTTTTTTCTTACATGGGTGTCCGTGCCGCGTAGTTACTGTTACATTATCCGGCTGCAAGAAGGAAAACGAAAAGCCAGTCGTAAGGTCGGTGTTAACGCCCAGCCTTAGTTCACACGTGAACCTTAGTTCTCGCAACCCAACATTAGTTTCGCTGACCAAGCAGACTCTCTTCTGCTTAAGTGGGAAACGGCTTCACCTCCATTGAACGTAGCGTGCTGCTGGCGCTGGGAACATCGTGGCATCCGTTCTTCCAGCATTCGAGTTAACGCCGTGGTCAGTCACCCTTCCAAAACTGTGCGCTCGTTCTTTCTGCTCCGCGACCCGCATCAGAAATACCCGATAATCCCGCGGCGTAGCCTGCGCACGATAAGGTCGTGCGGGAAAGCTTACAACCAAGCGTGACAATGTTTTTTGTTTTGTTTTCTTGAAGCGAGTATTGCGTGGAAGCGCTAACGTCGAGTATGTGGCGACGACGTCTAGCTGACGATGACGACCAAAGCAAGGACGGCGCGACCAATCTTGTTCCCGCTTCTGAAGCAGCGCCTTTCCGAGTTCCTTGGCGTTGCGACGAGAAAAAAAAAAAAAAGTCTTGCTACGTTGCGTCAGAATGCAACTACGGAAAGACGCGAGGTTACCGTGCCTGTGTCGCCACCAATGCAGGCAGCGAGCGAAGCGAAAGAAGAAAACGAGTGTGCAGCGCTAGAGCGGCAGTGTGCCACTTGGGGTGTCGCTGTAGCGTGGTGCTTTTTTCGGAATCGCACGAGTAGCGCGAGCCAGGCTCTTGCTGCCCGAAACGCGTTGCCTCGCTCAGCTCGCGCCTTGGAAAGAGCTGCGCCCTTTGGAGGACCGTGGGCAACGTTTTAGCTCGGAAGAGCGTGGGGCCAGCGGGTCCCCGATTGCGACCATTGGAAGCCGTGACCACAGTAGCATGGGCACGTCCAGTACTGCACGAGGTAAATGGAACCTCTCCGATTTCGCGGCTCAAATGCCTTCGATAACTAGCCGCACCGATCGTGTCGTCTAGCTCTTGACGCGCCGTGCAAGTCTTATGTTCGCGTTGCTTCGGAGCTTCTAGAATTGGTGGTGGTGGTGGTTAGATGAAGGCGCCTATTTTCTGCAGCCCGACAGCGAACACAGCGCAGCGCATGCTTCTGGAATTCATTGCGACTTCTATGGTGGCAAGCACGAGAGGACGTGTTGCGAGCGTTTTTTATTAGGAGGGGGGTGGGGGGGGGGGCGTTTTGCACCCTGCGCAAGGCAGTGTGTCGCTTTGCAGTAACTGTAACCGAAATACGCATGTGTCTCCTAACTGGCTGATCGCGATTTCGGTGCTTCTTTTGTACTTCAGCGTAGTTGGCCTAGTGGCTGAATCAGTGGTTTTGCAGGCGCAAAGTCTTCATTACTGGAAATGGACACCATGTTCCTACTCATTTTGTTGGATTGCTTTTCTATAGGCGACGGCGTACTGGAGGACACGTAGCTTGCCGCAGTCGACAATTAGCAAAGTGTAGTGTTCGCCATGGGGAGGTGAAATTTCATGGCATGTGGGATGCGAGTGCACGTCTTCACCTCTAGGCTGATCTGTTACACCTTGATTGCTTCATTGCGGTGTGCTGAATGTAGTAAGCGTGCCTATCATCTACTATTGTTACCTTTGAGAGGCTTGTCAGTGTGGTCAATCCTGGTGTAACAGCTACAGAGCCTGATGCATTGGGATGACATTAGCATTATCAAGTTTTGCATCTCCTGAAGTCTGTTGTGATTAAGTAGTTGAATTAGTTTCATTTTTAGTAAACATGTTGAGCATTTTAAGGGCCACATGTTGAAGGAATTACTGGCTGCTTTCACAGACATTCCTTGTTCACGTGGCTTGAGTGAAATACAAGAAGAGCAATGCCACTTCAGGTTGCCTCTTAGTAATAACGGTTGTGGCTCACAAAATCAGTGAGCTTAAGTCAATTTTAATAGTTATAGAATACTGACAGAGAGCATTGCCTGGTAGCTGTGCTTGTACTCTGCATTAATAATTGAATTTGAAGAGGTTTTTTGCCATTGGATGTGGAAATTTATCTTGTCTCACGTGCTGAAGGTCAACTCATTAAATAGTGTTCTCTGCCTTCATGTTCTGGATTCATTTGTTCACTGCTTACAAATGATACCAAAACACTAGCAGGCTAGAAAAGTACTTTCAGGTGAATCTTCTATGGATTGCCGTGCTAGTTTCTCTGGCCTTGTGTTCCCTTTGCCTGATGTGTTAGTTGAGAAGCGCATTGCTCATCATAATTTGGCTCAAATGGTGCATGGAGCTGAACTTCAGAGTTATTGCGTCAAAATTTTAGCATTTTTTAGCTGTTCTTCAGTCGTGGCTTTCTTTTATCAGCATGCTTGAGCACTTTATAACACTCAGCAGCATGGGGTTCTATGGGGGTCATTGTCCACACTTATTAGTGATGGAATCGCTCACCCACTTCAGTTCATCATGCAGGTTGTCCCGGTAAGCTCTTGTACCTTGTCTGAAAGCAATGCAGGTCTTCTAACACTCCTGATGGTTAATGCCAGAAAGAGAATTGTACTGGGAATTTCCAGTCATCCTAGTGGGTGTAACATTGTAAAGCTTGTGACTTGCTGTGCATTGGCTTGTTTGTGAGGCTTTACACAGAATTTTGTATTGAAGGCAGACAGTGGCATAGCCAAGGGGGTGGTTGGGAGGGTGTGAAAACCTCCTTCCTCCTCATATTCTTGCAGTTTGTAAATGTACATATACTCAGACTGATGCAAACACATACATAAAATGGTTATAGACACTCTGGAGAAAAGCTTTTTCTGGGTGTGTTCCTGGGCAGACTGAAACAGAAATTTTTAAGTATGGCCAAATTTGTTGTACATAAGTTAGTAGTTTACACTATTTATAGTCAACCTTCAAGGCAGATAATTGTAAGATGGCCTTACTGATAGCCTGTAAATATTAGACCAGCAGATCATCAGCTTCAGCTGGCTGTTATCCTGTAACTAAGTCACTACGAACTTATCCCATTTCTATGGTTGAGAGTTGCGGAGCGCTGCCTGCACACTGAGTGAATCACTCTGGTTGTGAACATTCTGTGTCATGTGCCACTTCTGGCAGGTGTTAGGGCTGACATGTTTCTTTGTTTCGAAGTTGTGGTAGGGAAATTTGTGGTGTGTGGCATGAAATTTACTGATGAGACTTCAACAGTCATATTCTTCTGAATTGAGCTGTGATAGTGAAATCGGTGACATTAGAGTTAACAAAGTAAACTTTATGAATACCAACCTACTTAGTATTCACTTTGGTGTTCTTTGGAGGATTTGTACTTGGGTCGGTTCACCTCTTCTCTTTGTTCTTTTAAGCCGTGCGCAGATAGCATTAGCATAAAAGGAGTAAGACAAGCACAGCACTTCGTTTGCGATGCTTTTCTGT